ACCCCTGAGATTGGCTAACACCCCTCCCCCAAACCCATGATTAAAATGAGCATGGCCTGTGCATGGCCTGAGGCAGAAACGCACGTAGCGTCTGACACGGCCTCCTCTTCTTCATCCCCCTCAGTGGTTCTGATCGGCGAATCTGGAGTGGGGAAAACCAACCTGCTCTCGCGCTTCACCCGCAACGAGTTCAACCACGACAGCCGCACCACGATTGGGGTGGAATTCTCCACGCGCACCATCCTGGTGGGAGACGCCCTGGTGAAAGCCCAGATCTGGGACACGGCCGGGCTGGAGCGCTACCGGGCCATCACATCGGCGTGAGTAGAGGCAAAGGGGGCTGGCCAAGTGGGCTGCGAGCTGGAAGGTCCAATGTCTCCTTCCTCCCACCTTTCTCAGTCTCGTAGGCTTTAAATTGGTGCTTTGCGTGACCTGATCAAGGTGTTTGCAGGTGTTTTCCGCAGAACCTGTTGGGTTCACGAATGAGTCATAAGAGAATCAGCCTGGATGTGGACGTAGCCAGGGCATATCTAGACGTGTCTTAGAGGAACATCTTGCGGGCGTGAAGGGGAAACTGTGTCTGTCATACAGGATGACTGGAGTCACCTGTTTTCTAGGTTCAACATAAACTGAAGCAGCTGAGTTGACATCATCTGATACCAAACTTTCACACCCTGGTTTGATGGATGACATCCATGTAACCCTCAGGCCTCTGAGTTTGTTTTCTTGCAGACATTTCATTACCCAGCTGGGTAACGTCATCAGTGCTATCTAGCACAAATGATGTTACCCAATTGGATAATGAAATGGCTGCAAGAAAACCACCAACTTCAGTGAGCACCAAGGACGCCACAGTTGAACCCGGAGCTACAAAGAGTCTCCTTTACTGATAGCAACGCTGTCTCTGTGTCCGTGTATTTTACTCTTCTTCTGCGCCTTAACTGAATGGGAAGAGCCAAGGCAGCTACTTCAGTTTCTGAGGTGCGTTTGTGGCACCGGAAAGGCATAGAAACGGTGTCCATGCTCAGTGCTGTCCTGCAAATCCTTGGCTGCCTTGTTGACAGCCCTGGAGGGGATGCTGTCAGCCGAAGACTTTGGTTCCTCTGAGGAACGACAATCTCCTGGCCGAAAAAGGGCCACCAACCACCCATCCCATCCCATCCCTGGAGATACCAAGCAGAAGCTCAGAAGGATGAGCCTGGTTGCTCCTCTTCCTTTCTTGTTCCTTCTCTTCACTTCTTTTCCTTGTTATCTGCCACAGATACTATCGTGGGGCGGTGGGAGCCCTCTTGGTGTTCGACATCACCAAGCATCAGACGTACGATGTGGTGGAGCGCTGGCTGAAGGAGCTGTACGACCACGCAGAGGCCACCATCGTGGTGATGCTGGTGGGCAACAAGACAGACCTGGCCCAGGCCCGAGAGGTGCCCACGGAAGAGGCCAAGATGTACGCAGGTAGGAAGGGGCGCCTGCCCTTCCCCAGAGGGGCGAGACCCGAGTGGCCGTGGGTGCAGCGCTGAGCTCAAGGCAGGACGTGGTCCATGGCTTTGACTCTGGGTGAAAAACCAGACCGGCTGCTCCAGGACTCGTGGAAGTTTTGGATGGCAATCCCCATCAGCCCCGGTAGTTCACAAGGATGGGATCTGCAGTCCAAAATAGTTTGGAGGTAATTAGTTGACTTGGTTTTCAGCTGGAAGCTGCAAGAGGAAGGAAGTGGTGTGCCCAGCAATTTATTCATCCTGACTTAATGATCTTAATACAACCCATTAAAATGGGCATCTGAGAAGAAAAACAAACAGGCCCAAAGAAAACAGCAGACCAGTCCTTTCTTAATTTGAGATGTGGGCACTATAGCACCGTCCTAATCTTTAATGTCGACATTTCTTCTCTACGATGGCGGCTGTTCCCTGAAGAAGGAACCGGTCTCCCTCACACTGTCTTCCTGCAAATAGGAATAAATTTAATTGGAGTGGCTTTTTTCACACCTTTTTTTCGGTTAAACTCCATTGCTTCTTTGGCCACTGAAGGGGTTTTTCTGTCTTCTTGTCGCAGAAAACAATGGGCTGCTCTTTGTGGAGACCTCTGCCTTGGACTCCACCAATGTGGAGCTGGCATTCGAAACCATTTTGAGAGGTAGGTGGGGGGTGACCTGAGGCAGGGCTGCCTTGGGAGGACTGGTTGCACTTTGACCGCCGGTCGAGATTTGGCTTTCCACTACACAGGGAAGCCTCTAACGTCTTATTGACTTGGAGCTCGACAGGCTTCTACCTGATTATCCAGCAAGAAGTATAGCAATACCGTAATTGCCATTATCTGGGGGGGGGGGGGGGGGGTGGTGGGGTTTCTATAGTGAACCTCTCTTAAATTCACCAGGAAGTCAGTTTGAAAATTCAAGATTTTCCTTAGTTTGGAGTTTGGTCCACAGCAGACCTTCTGTTCTGAGACAAACGAGTCCTGCTATTCGACAGAATTGGGTGGTTTCTGGACTTCTTCCGGATCAGAGTCAGATTGGCAAATGACTGTCCAGAGCTTTAAGAGATGCTTCTAGCCCTCCGCATGCCAGGGTTCAGCTGCCAGGCCCGTTGCAAGGCTGCTGAAGGGGGGGGTTAGATATTTATTATATGCCCCTCCTGGAAACAGATTAGATTCACAGCTCAGGCTGTAGTAAACTCCAGGGAAGAGGGAGCCCTCGTCACCGCTGCTCTTCCTCTTCCTTTGATCATCCTTCCCCTCCGCAAAGGCCCTTCCGAAGCGTCAGGACTTCCTGATCCTCTGAACCAGTTTCGCAGCATTGGCAACTTTCCGCGGTGTGGACTTCGACTCCCGTATTATTATTATTATATAGTATAACATATATTGTATCATATCATATTCTAAATCAGGGGTGTCCAACCTTGGCAACTTTAAGACTTGTGGACTTCAACTCCCAGAATTCCTCAGCCAGCAAAGCTGGCTGAGGAATTCTGGGAGTTGAAGTCCACAAGTCTTA